GGTTCCAAGGGTAGTTAGGTAATTTGGAGGTGCCTAGGGGCAAAAGACCAAATTGGTCATTTCAAGTGCAATGGGGTAGAGAACCATTCTGAATGAGTCATAGACCAATATATTGTGAAGATATGGTGTACCCTAGTTCCAAGTCAACACCCAGGGTCAATCCTACGGCCAAGTAGCCCTATAGGAACTCTTCTTGAGCTTCCCCCATAATGATCTTACCTACTAAATGCTATAGGTTAAGGTCAATATGTGGAATTTCAAGTTGAGTAAAGAGAAGAGTTTTGAATTTCTAATGGTGAGGGTACCTTTTCTAGTTTTCTAAGACTAGTCAATAGTAAAGTCCTATGACTAGACCTAGGCTACTAAAGAAGTTTTCTAGACCTCAACCAAAAGTGAGGTCAACAGTTGTTTTTCTTTCATTTTAGTGGGCGCTAAATTCTTGTTTGACATTAAAATGATAATTCATTACTCTACCGTCACAAATCTTTTAACATACATTAATAATACTCATAACAATTTAAAACAAGTATATTTATATCTTTACACTTTCATGACTATCTTTAAAGACACTTACAACAATCCCAAATATATCTCAATTATTGTTAATTAAAGTTTTTTACAGCAAAGGTGGGCATGATGAAAATCTGAATGCTAAGATGAATATTTGATAAAACTAAAAGAAAAAAATAAATATGTATATATAGCATGCAAAAATGAAAAGTCACTTACATCACAATGAAAAAGCAATGCAAAAAATAATAAAGCATGAGAAGTAGAGAAAAACTTAAAGAAAAATGGAATAATTTTGCACGTGGTATCAACAACTTCTATTACTTTTTTTGTTTGTCTATTTATTAGGGATTTTGATTATGAAATGACAATTATACCAATGATCAATTTTAATTGGTACACCCCTAATCAATTGACTTTATGCCGTGTAACTAATAAATATTCCAAGATTTGACTTTTTATTCAATTGGCCTCTATCTGAGTGATCTTCCAGTCCATAAATCTCTAGTTTAGATGACTCATGATTGGTTGCTCAATCGATTATTCCATTAGTTTTCAGCTGAAAAAATTATTACGTCCATCGTCCGGATACCGAGCTGCGTCCGGGCGACGACCGTAATAATCTCTCCTCCAACTGTTGGTCTACCGTGACACAATTGTCCTCTGGGTACTATATTAGTTGACTCGTATTTCGCTCTGAATTAATAATATTTTTATCGTACGGAGATCTTTTGTATAAAAATATAAATTTCAGTTTTTAAAATATAAATAATGATATTTTTGGCGTAAATCTCGGAGGAAGCTTTAATTCGGCCCAACAGGTCCCGAGCCGACCACCGGACGAGGAAAAAAATTTGCTTGCATAAGACGTACACAGAGTTGCGTGCGTCTATAACTTACAAACAGGTTACATGGAGGATTTCAGGAAGTTATAACCGCATTATACCCCCTGTAACCTACCTGTATATCAAAACAGAAGCGCGAAACTTACTGGAACATAAAATTAGGTTGCAGGGAGCTTTAAGTTAAGCGGGTATAACGCGGTTATGCGGGTATAACGCGGTTATCTCTGCTTACTCTTATGTACCCAAATTTTTTCCTTAATCTTGTGTACCCAAATGTTTTCCCCGGACGAGAGAGAGAGAGAGTATGCGCAGAGCAATGGCGTCCATCGGCCCCTTTGTCGGCCTACAGAGCCTTAATTCCGGTACCCCCTTCGTCTTCTTCCCTCGTTCCTTGCCCACCGCACTTCAACGCCTCGCAAGTACTTCGCCAAGCATTACCTCATCGAGCATCTCCTCGTCTTCCCTATCTTCTTCGCTCGGCCTCTCTTCCCTGACTTCACGAAACCCACCGTGTCCGTCAACCTCTTCTAATCATATTGATCTCGAGCTCTACCTTAGTTGCTCGATGCCAGGAAGGCGCTTGAAGATCGCCGTTCTTCTCAGTGGTGGAGTCGACAGCAGCGTCGCCCTACGCCTTCTTCATGCTGCGGGGCACTCCTGTACCGCTTTTTACCTCAAGATATGGTTTCAGGTGCTCAACTTGTTTGATTATAGTTGTTCGTGGCAGCCTGCTTGGTTTTTGTTCTAATTTGGGTCGAAGGTCGTCTTTGTTGGTTTCAAGGAAAATTATGAAGTTTCATGCATTGCTTTGTAGATTGTAACCTTTGTTTTCTTAGTTTCGAAGGGACTTAAAATTTTAGAGTGAAAGAAAGTAATAGACTTATTTTGATTGGGAGCCTAGATTGAAAAAAAAAATGGAGTGAAAAGAGTTTCCTCTGTAAGTCAAAGAGGATTTTTTATCTCTTTATACATGGAGAGAAAAGAATAAAAATTATTTATAATAAAAAAGTAAAAGAATGATATCTTATCCTTTTTTATACTATCAAACTATTTTTGTTCTAATTAATGAAAAAAAAAATTCATTCTTATATTTTTTTTGGACCCCTTTGAATCATTTAGCTATTAGGCTTGTCTGGATTGTCATGGGACTCGCATTTAGTGAAATTTTAGAAATCTTGATGATTATGCACTAGATCCATGAGTGTACATGATTAGATGACAGTACATCTAACATGGAAGTAGCTAAGAGTAATGGACTAAAATTATTGAGAGCTTAAACTCAAATATATAAAAGTAAACTATTATTACAATCTACAACGGCATGAGCCAAAAGGCTATAAACCCAATTTTATGTAAGTTGAGGTTTAAAAAAATGATTGCACAACTTAGCAAGTATAATTATGAATAGAAAGAAAATTTTAAGATGAAATCATTTGAGATATGAAGAAAAGAGCTTTGTTAATAGCAACAAAGGAAAGAATAAGCCAAAAGTATTTGTCATCACCAGTCAACACCATAAATATTATCAGCAAGTATTGTAGTGAGGCTAAAGGATCAATTGAGAGAAGAAGGAATGACACAACAACTATTGAGATTGATCTAATTTAGGATTTGTTTGGGGCAGCTGTAGCTTATTGAATAATCTGCTGATAAGCTAGGTGCAGTGACTATTATAAATTTTTATTTTTTTTGGAAAAGCCAGACCGCAGTCAGAAAGCTCCCACCGCACTTAGATAGATGCGGCGTGAAAACGTTGTTTTTCAGCGTTTTGAAAACGCACAAGCTGTCAAAACGCAGCTTACCCAAACATGTCGGGTGCGTTTTCAAAATGCCACCGCACCAAATAAGCTGCCCCAAACGGGCCCTTAGTCGAGAGTTCTGACACAACGAAATATGAAGGTATTTATTGTCATCAAATAATTCCAATGGACCCAAGGGCCTTGAAACGATTAATGTTAGAGCCACTTCTAACTTGAATAGGAAACCATGGTTTACTATTTAAGCAATAAAAAAGTGTTTTCTATTATGAAGAAGCAATAGGTTTGGGTTTGAGCCAAATAGAGTTATATTTTGTTTTCAACCAACAACTTAAGGGACCTAAACCACGAAAGTAATTCCAAACATAGTTGATTTTATTCAATGGTTTGAGATGGGAAAGGTTATTAATTCTTGGGTCAAATTTTAATTTAATAAGACTAGTTGAGGCCCCAAAAATGATATGAATTTTTTCTTAGCACCCTCATTAAATAAGAACCTTAAGCATATGGTTTCAATATTTTTTTTATAGCATTACTTGAGCATATGTTCTAAGTATTTTCTTATAGCATGCTTGAGCATAAGACAAATCTCATCAAATTTAATGTTATTTCAGATAGATTATTCTATTAGTTGAAATTTACCATTCATAAAGAGAGTTTTGGCTTTTAGATAAACTAAAAGGCTTTGTTGTCTGTCACTCAGAGGGAGGTAGTCTTTGAATTGAGGTTTGTCGGTGGATAGGGGAGAACCAATGTAAGCAATAAGCATATGAATGACATTAAATCCAATGAGCTTAGTCAGGCTAGCTAGGTTAGTACTATCCTTAGAGACGCTTGTTAGAGAATAAAATAGCTTGAGAATATTAGTGAGATTGATTATGTTGTTCCTATTGAATCTTCGAAAGACCAAGATTGTAATGTATGAAGTGTCATTACTAAAACTTTAATATAAATTGAGTTCAACTTAGTTCCCCAATTATTCATTACAAATTATAAGATCTAAAGGCACAAGGGACAGCTTTGCTTATGTCCATTAGTAGGGTGGAAGAACCCATTATAGCCACTATTAATTATGATGTTGAAGTAGGCATAAGGAGTACAAGCTTTGATTTATTCAATAAAGAGGTAGAAATGATTTTCTTATTCTGTCTATGATAGAGAAAGTCTTTGTTGATAGATTCAAATAAATTTTCAATGTGAATTTTGCTCTAAAATTTTTTTTTCATACATGCCTTATTGAAACCCCTGATAAGCTAACTTGCTAAGATATTTTAATTAATCATACAATTGTTAATAATTAGCTTTTGTTGGATGAATGTAGAGGGACATGTTAGGCTTTAGCCCATTAGCAAAAATATCAGAAATAAACTTGTAAAAGGTATTAAGGAGAGAGATTGACCTATAGTCAATAATGGCATGGACTTGAAGGTGCTTAATAATGAGGGTAGTTATAATATCTATTGCATTTTTGGAAGCTTCCTAGGATGAAAGAAGTACTTATTTAGCAAATTGACTCGAGGACCCACAAATTTCAAGAATAGATGAAGAATCTAGTTGACAATCTGTCATACTCATCAATGGAGTTTTTTTTTTACAGAGTAAAAAATAGTATTACATATTTTTTAGTTAAAAAAAATCAGCTGTTAGAACTTATATATAGGTGTGGGTAGGGTGTTACTCATGAGATATGGTGCTTTGCAGAAAGTGTGATGACAGTTGCAGATGAAGATGAAGTGAGAAATGAAAACAATAAATATGCTAGCATGAGTGGAATGAGTACCTTCATAAGTTACTAGTTTGTGAATATGACTTTTGCCATGCCTCCACCTCCCTTTAATTTTATTGAAGATGAATTATAGTCTATGCTCTTCATGTGAAATCCATTGATTCTTAATTATTTGAATTTTTAAAATTATAATAAATTTAATTCTAAGGAACAATTATTCGATGGTAGTCAATAGGGCTGCAAACGAGTCGAGCTTGAGCGAGCTCAGGCTTGGCTCATGTTCGGTTAGTTCAAAACAACTCGTGTTCAAAATCAGATCGTGTTCGAAAATCACTCGTGAACAATGTGTTCATGTTCGAGTTGATTTAAATATTTTTGTTCGTTCTCGGCTTGTGTTCGACTCGAAATTAACTTGTTAAAATTCATTGAAAAAAAAATAGATGTAGGGTGTTGGATTCGAACCTGCACCAACTTTGTGCAATAGAAGACGCTAAACCATATTACTACATGAGCTACTATAATTTAAACTTAAATATAAAAATATATAATATGTTATTATATACAAAATATATACAATATATTATTATATAAATAATATATATAACTTTTTTATTTCGAGCTAAAACGAGCTTAACACAAGCGAATAAAGGATTGTTCGTGTTTGGCTCGTTTGTAGCTCGAGTTTAAAAAAATATGTTTGTGTTCGACTCGTTTACTTAACAAACAAGCCAGACAAGAGTTATTTAACAAGCTGAACACGAGCTGTTCGAGAACAACGAGCTTTTTTTATAGCCCTAGTAGTCAAAAACCCAATAACAAGATTGTGATTTTTGAGGGAGGTGTCCACAAGGGAGTAGAAGAATCTTTATTTTTCCTTTAAAATTTGAATGAAAGTAAAGGCCAAGTTGGGAGAGGATCAGGCGTAAGTCTTCAAAAGGTTAATTTTAAGCATAAAGGTGAGATTTCCTCTACCAAATAGAAACTTTAGAAAAAAAAATTGAGATTCGAAGAAGGGTTGGAACCTATGAGAATTAATACGCGGAAGTAATCAAAGTAGAGCAGGTAAAAAATTGAAATAATGAATTATAAATATTTTCAACTAGTTAGAAATGATAAGCACCTTGCTAAGTTTGGCATATGTGGGGACTTCATTTCTATATTATTTAAATTGAAGGAGAGACCATAGTTGGGGATGTCAAAAATATTAGAAAACGCACCAATTTTGTACTCTAAAGAACACTAGTATCATGCCGATGAAAATGTTTTGAGATTCTACGATTGAATAATACATGTTAGGGGAGAGGTGACAAGCTTGGTTTAGAGGAATTTTTTACTTCGCAGGCCCATGGGATAAAGTTTGTTGGTTATTATTAGCGCTGAAGTCAGTGAGTGGAGGTTATTAGAAGCACCTTGTAAGTTGTCTCAATATGGGGGGCAAGTAGGTAGGATTAGGGGGTTCTTTAGTATTAGGGGCTATGAGTCTTTTGGTTGACGGTGATATAAAATGATTTTTTATTTTGTTTCTTCATTAGTAGGGGTGAGTGAAGGATTGTGTTGCTTAAAAGATTAGGAGGAGATTCACATGTTGTCGGCAGCTAAAAGGGGGAAAGTTAAAAATTTGGTGGGTGATTTGTTCAAAAGTTGTCCGTAAGAAGCTGTCGGGCGCTGTAAGTGAAGTCCCGTCGCCCGCTCTGAAAGGACTTTTTAATTTACATATATATACTGACCCCATATTTTTTATAATTAAAATGAAAGAGCACTGTACCTCAAATCTTGTATCTATCTCGAAGGATAATCACAAGACTTGACGATGAGGCTCGATCAAATAAAGTAAGGAATATATGACATATGTTTGGTCTGCGAAACCTTTGTATTTGTCGACAAGTTCCCCTATTTAATATAAAGGATTAAATAGGGTTTATATTAAGCTGCGTTCGGACATGCTTCCTATAAGGGCAAGCCTCTCTAGTTAATTACATCTTAAATGAGCAAA